TTATTTATTAATATTTCAAATATACATATAAAATGCTTAACAGCTTAAGTATACATATATTTTCCATTGTGAACAATTTATTCAGAGATTTCAAAATACCATAATTAATTTTATCAAATATTACTCTCTAAATATACAATTAAATATATTTGGCACTTTTCTTTGCACAAGGAATTACTTAGTATATTATTTAATTTCCAAAATTGCTTTTCCTTTGTTTTTAGCCATGTAGAAATCCTAAGAACTCTTAAATAGAATAAGCGCAACAGAGTTAGGGGACAAGTCCAGAAAAGACCAAGTTGGCAAATTCTAAAATACCATACTATTTACCATATATGCTATTTTAATAAATCTAAGTGATGATATTAGTAACCTCCTTCTCATCTTATTTGTCATCTGTCAGAAACTAAAAATACTATTGTATTTCCATCCATTTTTCTTGGTTTGTTTTCTTGGATTGTTCTGCTTCATAAATTTTAATCCATAAAATATCTAGGGCACAAATTTCATTACAGCTCTACCTTCATTGTATGCTAAACCTTTAACACATAGAAGAGATCTTCTTCTCTAAGTTAATGCTTGAGTTTAATATTGTCACTGGCCTCTGCTTTTCTTGTACCTGTGTTTTCCTGTAATAGAAGATAGTTTTGTTTCCTTCGGGTACTAGGGATTGAATCCAGGGACCCACTGATCTACAACCCCAGCCCTTTTTATTTTTTATTCTGAGACAGAGTCTTGCTAAGTTGCTTAGGGTCTACCTAAATTGCTGAGATTGGCTTTAAACTTGAGGTCCTCCTGCCTCAGCCTCCTATGCTTCTGGGATTACAGGCATACACCACCGTACCCAGTTTGTTTTATTTTTAATCCTTAAAGGTTTGGGGTTTTGGTTTTTTTTTTTAACAGCTGGGTCTAGCTGACTTATGATTTTGTTGTAATTATATAATGAGTTCCACAATCATAAATATTTTTAGTACTTTTTATGAGTTAGTTTATTTTCTAAGCTTCTTAACTTTACTTAAATTTTTCCTCCTGACAACTGATGTGGCCTTTTTCATTGTATTGGTGGAATTTTGACTATTTACATATTATTGAAATTATATTTTATTATATAAATTTAAAAATTATTTGACTCATTTATGAAAAAAATTAAAATTCTTGTAAGTGCAAGAATTTTACAATTCTTCACATCTTGTTCTTAACTACTGGCATTTGTTAACACAGACCAAAATCATAACATCAACATATTAGGTTTACTATAATTTGGTACAAACCTAAAATTTTTTATTTGAAATTTGGGTTAAGACAGATTTTCTAGTAGTAATTTAAAATCCAGAGGACATTTTTAAAAGATTGATGATGATCTATAATGTTGCCTTTCATGTAAAAAAAAAAAGTGTAAAAAATGTATACTTAACAGCTCACTCGTGCAAAAAAAAAAAAAGTCTACATATTTATTTAATATGGTTAACATGCACTTTAGAAGTATATCAACTTATATTCCAAGCAATATGGATTAATGACCCTCTTGAAAAAAATAAATTTTAAAATTACTTAGAGGCTAGATAAAATACATTTTACAAATACTTTAAAATATCCCTAATCTGAGGCATATGAAAGGAATCCACAGAATTCTAAAAGCAAGTAAATAAAAGAACTCTATAAGGTAGCCAAACCTCGAGGCTGGTGTTTCTTGAGGGTATGAACCAGATCACAGATACACACTGATCCTCCCCACAGAGTACTCCCTGGTGGGTAGGAGACAAGAGAGTAACTGGGACCTTTCTATGCAGGAAGTCTCCTCGGAGACACCAGCACAAGACCAGGGAAGGACCCCCTTAGCTTCAGCAGAAGGATAAACACGCTTACCACTGCAAAGCAATGCAAGGAAACAATACGATCTTGATATCAGTACTAGAAGGAAAATAAAAATCTCCTCGGGGAAATTTAAAATTATGCATCATGTTGATTCAAGACTTAAATACATACCACTTTTAATCTGAAAAAAATCCTAACCAGATCATTTAAAATGTTTCTAGATGCTATCTTCAGTGACTAGTAGAAACAAATAGTAGAAACAAATGTATCTATCACTGGAATGAAGCAGAGTGGAACTTCAAAGCAAGTATCCATTTAAAAAGCTCAAGGAAGAACATGATTTCCAGGAGAGAGAGAGAGAGAGAGAGAGAGAGAGAGAGAGAGAGAGAGAGAGAGAGAGAGAGAGAGAGAGAGATTGATTTTGATTAAGATTGATTGATTAATTACAGGGCTTGGTGGTGCACTGCTCCAGAAACTGAGGCAGGAAGATCACAAGTTCAAAGCCAGCCTCAGCAAAAGCGAGGTGCTAAGCAACTCATGAGACCTGTCTCTAATAAAATACAAAATAGGCTGGAGATGTGGCTCAGTGGTTAAGTGCCCTTGAATTTAATCCCTGGGAAAGAAAGAAAGGAAGAAAGGAAGAAAGAAAAGAAAAGAAAAGATAAAGGAAAAAAAGGGGGGGGGGAGATGAGGAGAGAGAGGGAGAGAGGGAGAGAGGGAGGGATAGAGAGAGACCATGAAACACATGAGCAAATAACATACCATGAATACAAGGAGAAAGAAATGAAGGCAAGAAACTGTAACATGGAAGAAATATGACAGAGATACCTTTAATATACTTCAAAAACTAAAATTCCAAGAAGCAGAGGAAAGCTTGAAAATATATCTAGGGAATATAAAAGCTATGATGGAAGAACTGAAACTAATCACAACAAACAGAATCCCTTTGAGAGTCAGTTTCCAAGATACAATTCACCCACCCAAACTCTACCAAAAGCATATCTCAAGAGAGTGCAAGAAATAAAGATATATTTAGACAGATGGAAGGAAGAGACTTCCTCCCAGCAGACCTCTCTGAGGGGTGTTCTACAGGACCAGCGCCTGATCAAAGGAGGATGGGCTGAGCAGGGAGCTGCCCTGCAACAGCAGGCTCATTTTCATGGCTCTCACCAGTTCTGTGAGGTGAACAAGTAGGGTCTCAGAGTTCAAGGTCCAGATTTAGCAAAGAAAAAAAAAAAAAAAAAAACAGATGAGTTTTGTCTCACCTGTCCACCCTGATCTGAAGAAGGGCTGATTCAAGGGAGACAGCATAGGCAGCCCTGAAGGCCATCTCAGAAAGACATGAAGGCCCGTGATGTCAGTGAGCCAATCGTAAAAATAATGGAAAATTGTATAATTTTCTAAGAGAAATTCTTAAATAAGCCAGGCACAGAAAGACAAGGTCTGTATGGTCTCCCAAGGACTCTCCAAGAGCTGACCTCCTAGAAGTTGAGAGCAGAACAGTGGTTCTCAGAGGATGGGAGTGATGCAGGGAGAGGCTGACCAGGGGAACTAAGTGGAACAGGGTAAGATACAGCAGGGTGACTGCAGAGAACGACACATACTCCAAAAGCCAAAAGAAAAGATTTTGAATACTTTCACCAAAAAGGGGTGGTAAAGGTTTGAGAAGATAAGATATATTTAACTTGATTTAAACATTACACAATGTATACATGTATTGAAACATCACATGGTACCTCATTAATAGCTTTAGTTTCATGTCTTTATGCACCTGTTAAAATAAATTTAATTTGAATTATAAAAATAAATAAGCCCTCACCAAATTTTTGAAATAAATTTTTAACAGGGAAGAGTAATATCCACTTGTTGCTTTTGTAGGTTTGCCACTTTAAAATACTACTGCTGTCTAAAATACAGGGTAAAGTGCTTGGAAGTGGTAGTAAATCTGAGTAATACAATTTAATAAATGTTGTGGTCCAACTGCTTCTGTGAAAGGCTCCCAGAGAGGTGCTAGAGGAATGATAACATTGGCTGGCAGAGGTCCTTGCCCTACAGAATCTTTGAATCCTGTAGGATAACAAGCTTTAGGAAGCGATTGTAATACCAGGGGAAACAATGGTTGTGGAATGAAGAATTACAAGTTAACTCAATCAGTCCATACATTTTATGCAATTACTTTCACTCTTTGTATTTTTTAATGTAAATTTTTTAATTTATATATGACGGCAGAACGCATTACAATTCTTATTACACATATAGAGCACAATTTTTCATATCTCTGGTTGTATACATAGTATATTCACTCTTTGTATTATTATATTACTCAATATTATTATTAGAGATCTTAGTACACTATCTTCTCTTTTTCTATATACATGTTACATGTCAATGGTATTTTGATTATTTGAGAATACAGGTATCTTTATTTCAAAAATTCATCCCAAATCTCAAATAGCAGTGCCTACCATATAAGAAATACACAGTAAATGTCCAATAAATTTATAAGTGCATTTCAAGCTGAAAACAAAAGATTATTGACTAAGATTATGCTAAAATGTTAAGTACCTGATTTTAAGGTACTTAAAATCAAATACCAGTGACTAAACATCTTGAGATGCTTTTGAGAGTGCCTGTGTGAGTTGCATTTGACAGTGGGCTGTTTTCCACCTAAAGAAGAGCAGAGATTCAGAAGAGCCACAGCTGAGACTCACTCCTCAAGGGCTGAATGCCCTGAAGCACAGCCACAGCCACTCAGACCAGACCAGGAGCTTCTTCCTGTGCTCTTACAGAGCTGTCTTTTACCCCGTAAACACCACACAGACCATGTTCAACTTCTGCTCCCATTTTATTCCACTGTGGACCATGAATGCCAAGGGCACAGGCCCTCTTGTATGGCACCATAGCCCACAATGCTGAAATGACTTTTGTATAAAACACAAATTCTTTACAAGTCATGCATGATATGGGACACTACAAGGCAAAAATTGATACATAAGTAAATTAATTAATTTCAAGATTTTATGAAGAATATCATGTCATTCTTGACTGATACTAACCACATTAAAAATTAAAATACGATTGTTTTAATACTTAATTATGACATGTCTGTTGTTTGTAATAAAATAGTTTTTAATAAAGAGCTTATGGTATCATCTAGAGCACCAAAATTTAATATAGATACTTACATTATTGCACTCTCCAAGGAAATACAGTGCAAATCCATCAGCTTTTGTGGCTGCCAAAGTAATAAAAAAGGAAGAAACTAATCTCAGTGGAAGAATATAACATGTATGAATTCTCTATAGTGTGACTCAGATGTGAGCCTGTTGAGTGGATCTGTTAACATGACCAGTGTCATGCACTGAAGGGACAAAGCCATATATGGCTTCACTCAGTAACAGGGTATTTCCACATACTCCTCATCAGTGACTGCAACACTAAGTGACATCTTCAAATGCATACAGCAGGCAACATGCCGTGCAATAATGTACTTTGAACTTTAAATGTTGAACTTTAAATATTCAGAATTTCCACAGAACACTTTTTAAATTCAAGAATTGTATTTAATTTTTAAAGTATTATAAATATTAATGGTGATAGTCATAATACTGAATTACTGAAATAAGCATCAACCAAAAGGGGTGTACACATCTGCATATCCACTGACATGAACATAATAGATCTGAAATCACTTCATGTCATCTGAAGCAATCACCACAGCAAGGAATAGCATTAAGTCTTTCAGGGACTGGCTTTTTTTTCTTGTTCTGGGGATTGAACTACTCAGGGGCACTCAACCACTGAACCACATTCCAGCTCTATTTTTTGTATTTTATTTAGAGATAGGGTCTCACTGAGTTGCTTAGCACTTCACTTTTGCTGAGGCTGTATTTGAACTCACCATCGTGTCTCACCCTCTGGACCTCTGGGATTACAGACATGTGTCACCACACCCATCGGTTCAGGGATGGCCTAAATTTAAACCCTCTATTTAACTCCTTTTTATCTCTGTGTCTTTGGGAAAAACAACTAACTTCTGTCCCATGGCTTCTTCATTAGGAGAATGGGGATAAGAACAGAAATGACCTCATGAGGCGATCATGAGAACCAAAGTTTGTGCATGGAGTCTGCATGGGGAGATGTCTGACACAGGGTTAAGTATGATAAACATTACTATTAATTATTATGTCATCAGCATTCTCACTTCCAAATAAAACTCAAAAGATTCAATTTTCATAGTGGGTATCCTAAAAAGTCATGTCCTAAAAAAAGTGCACCCTTCTAAAATCTTATTTTTCTGATACAACTTCCCCATTCATTCCCAAAGTAAACCACTGATTATCTAGGATATACCCAAATAAGTTTAAAATGCTTGTTTCCTTTAAAAATTAGTGGTTTCCTTTATAAATGTGTCACTTAGTTCAATAAACAAAATTTTCCAAAGAAAACTTGGTATTAATTAATATCATAGTATATTTAATTCATGCAACAGGTAGATACTTATTTGAAATCAGATGATTTAGGAATTTTTTAGGCTTGATGTTTCATAATAAAATATTTTTATTACTTAGTCTGGTATAAAAGCAAATGAATGATTTTCATCACCCTTTTAGTTATTTTCTGCCAGTTTTGGTAATGTGAGAAAAGAATATTTGGTCAAATTTGGTCAAAATTTCCCCAGGGAATATAAAATATTTCTTACCTATTTTGATTATGCTACTCAATTCATAGAGGAGCAACTGGTTATCTCCTCCCGTGTCCAACCGCTGCTCAATATAGCTGTTCAGCTCATACACGACTCCCTGCATATTTGTATCTTGGTACTTTGAATAAAACATAACAAAAATAAAGGGAATAGTTTAATAAAATAGAATAAAAATCCCTTAGTTTATAAAATATGCAACTAATGCACATATATATATAACTTAAAACACTAGCTGTTTGTTACACTTTATAATTATACAGTATGATTTAAATATAATCTATAATATAAAATGAATATTTTCAAATCATTAAGACTTATTTAGACTCACCTATAAACTGCATCTAAATTACTTACTTATATTAAAATATCCAATGTCAAATTATAAGTTCATTTCTGAATTTTTATAAATATCAGCAACTTGATTAGTAAAATAATACAACAGTTTGCTCAGCAAGACAGAGCAATATGCTAGGACATCTTTCCACAGGCACTGCACTGGGAGACTCAATGCCCCACCCCTGGCTCCCATCTCTGTGGCTCAGGACAGGAGTGGAAGGTTTGCACTGTGGCTGTGGTCACTGCAGCAGCCCATAGCAAAGCCATACCCCAAACTGTAGTAGAGCTCCAAGGACAACAGCAGGTTATGGGGAAAAGCCACCCTTACCCTGCAGCAAGCTACACTCTTTCTTCTCTAAGATAATGAAAAATACTGTCTTCTCATTCACCTCCTTGATGCTAAGCTTGCCTTACTAAACCACATTCTCCAAATAACAAACATTATAAACTTTAAAAATTAAATAAAATTCGGTTACCCTTTGGCTTAAAATACTCCTAGGACTTCCCATTGTGCTGGGGATAACAGATGGATTCCTCTCATGATGGACTCCTACACCACAAAATGTGGTCACTGTCTACCTCCAAAACTTCCTTCTTAACTCCTCATTCTCCTCTCTGCCCTCACAGTCTCAGGCGTGGCCACCTCTCTGTTCCTGGAGCACTCAGACGCCTCTCACTCCCAAAGGTCTCCTACTTGCTATCACTAGCACTGTGCTCAATATACATCTGTGGAGTGAACAAGTAGATAACACTAATCAGTCGATCACCTGACAAATGACCATGTATTAGAGTAGCCACTCTGTTAGACACTAGAGACCTCACAGAGTGGACAGGACCAAAGTTCTGTCCTCTAGGAGCTTACATTCTAGTAGGAAGAGAATCAATAAGTAAATAAAGCAATTTTTATACAGATGCACAGTGGAGATGTGGAATCCATTATGTTAGCACTAGGCTGGCTGAAATCTGTCCCCCAAGCGGCCTATACTAAATCAACTTGAAATGCCAGAACTGCCCTAAGTTCAAAGACTTAGCAAGATGAGAATAGCATTCAACTTACCATTGTCTAGTTATATCCTACAGAAGCCCTTCTCGGTACACATAAAGAGCCCTATGGTGGGGACCAGGAATGAATGTGGGAACTGCTACCATCCATGCATATTCCCCAAATATACCACGATGGGTTCTTGTTGAGGCAGGGGCTCAGTAGTAGCACTTCATGCCCAGAGACAAGGTGAGATATTGACACACCAGACGGAAACGAACTTGTAATCAAATGCTGTGACCAGAAGAGATCTTTAGTATTAGCTACTTGATCATGGTGTCCCTGAAACTCAACAGGTCACCCTACTAAAGTTTTGGGTTATTTTTGTTTTTCCCTTTGTCAACCAAGAAAAGTTCTGGCTTAAGTGAAGGAAAAGTCAGAATACCTCAACGAAGTCCCAGAACTGAGTCAATGCATAGGCTGGAAAGCTTGAATCAAGAAAGGTCTACTTGAAGAAGGATCTTGATAGATAGCCAAAATGTACAAAGCAGATCTTCCTCCTACCTTCCCCAAAGAGACCTGTAACCATCTGCCTGGGTAGTCAGTGGGGTGGGGGAATCACTGGACACTGGCTTCATGCTGATACTAATTCTTGAGACACCCAATGCCACCCACTGTGGTGTACCACTCAGAGGGTCTTATAGAGATCAGAGGATCAATGGACTTTTAACTTACGTCCATCTCAAAAGTGAGCCCCAATGGTTTCTTATCACCCTGTGATGACCACATTTTGGTAGAATGAAGAATCTTGACATAGAAATAGAGTGAAAATCTGAAGAATCTTGACACAGAAATAGAGTGAAAAAGTGAAATTTATAGAAGTCTCCCAAGTATAGAGAAAAACATAAATAAATATGATCAAAAAGCAGCAAAATAGAAACCTTCCAAGCAACTCCAGTGCTTCATAACCAACTTCAGAATTCAATGACCACCCTACTGGGCTCTCACCTGTGGGTGCCACTCCTTGCATCCCTAAGCCCAGGCCTCTCAGGCTTGTGTGCTCTGCTCCCACGTCAGCTGCATTTTCCTGCTTTGCTGTGTGCAGCACCCAGAGGTTAGTCTGCCCTCCCTTAGCCTTGTGGATGCTGCCTGCTTTGTTGGACATTATCATGATAAATTACCGGTCCTGGATAAGTTCTGTGATTTTTTATTGCTAAAACTTTATTTTGCTAACAGCCATAACTCTTCAGTTATTGGCTACCTCTAGACTTTTTCCAGGTCCTTGGCTTACAGAGGTACCAGTGTTATGGCAGACTCTACACCACAATCACTGGGAATTCTGATGCCTCTATCCAGTACTGTGTGTGGTCCCAAAAGCTCATGGTGCTTCCTCTGACATTCATAAACAAGATCCAAGTTTTGAAAAGTTCCAGATAAAATATTCTACTTTAACATAACTCTATTCTCTACTCTCTTTTTTACCACTAATCAGAACTACTAGTTCTGTATTTTCCCTTAAAGTTCTTGGAAAGAGCTCTTTTGAAGATGAAGCTAACTCAAAAGGAAAGCTGAGCCAAGGGGCCGAGAAAAAGTCATAATGCCAGACCTCGAACCTCTACATCCAGGCATGCAGAAGTCTTCACACCTCAAAGTCTATCCCCAGCATTTCTTCTATAGGAACAAGCACATTGTCTCAGTGCCTTGATTTGCTTGTCAGAGAAGGGGGAGCTTTAGCTAGTTTTAAGGTGGGCTATTAATCATTCAGCAAGTGATATACAGGTTGGTCTGTCTCCAAAGTCTGACTAGATGATGATTCTGAGAATAAGCTGTTTAGTAATGTCCTATAAGAGGTGCTGAGATCAATAACCAGCTGTTCTCTAACTCTTTTGGAAATAGGTTCTCACAAACAAATGAGAACAAGTAGACATTCTGGGATACAGAAATTTATCATGAGATTTCATTTCATGTTTCTGGGCTTTATGTTTTCTCATCTGTAGAAATACTGCTGAGAGCCATAGCCAAGTAAGAATGGCATTTTTGGTTGAAAGGTGACCCTGCTCAGGGATTAGGGTGGCTCCAGGTTTAGGGTGGATCCTGCTGGATTAGGGTGGCTCCGGGGTTAGGGTGGATCCTGCTGGGAATAGGGCATATCCTGCTGCCTCAGGCGCCCGCTCCTTGAGTTCCCGTTGAGTTCCCGCAGGGTTCTGAGAGAATTGGTACGCAGAGCCCGGTGAAGGGAGTGTATTTTTCCCAGAACGTGTGTGTAGAGTGTAGGTGAGAGTTCGGGAATAAAGAGTTGCTGTTTGAATCTACAAGGCTTTTGTGGTGGCTTGGTTATTTTGTGCCCAGACAGACTGCGGCAAATAGAAGGATGAATTACATTATCTTTAAAATCCTTTTCAGTACAAACTTTCTGTGATAATCTATGACCTGGGTTTTAACTTTTTATTTATATTAAGCTTCAAATTCTATTTTTTAAGTGATTATAATAGCATAATTATTATAATAGTAAAATATTTTACTGAGATTATTATTCTATTGGATAAAATATTAATTCTCAAATATTAAAAGGCTAGTGAGTTATTCAAACCATAATATACTGTAAAATATGAAAAATTTTTTACATGCCAATGTGCAATGATAAGCATAATTATTGTTTGCCATTAGCCTTATGGATATGTTGCTACTCATTAGTAATGTCATGAAAAGGAAGTCTGAGGAAACAGAGATGAATGTGAATCACACACTTCTAAGATTTTCTTACAAAAACCACATGATAGAGCTTACTAAGATAGTAAGCTGAATTAAATAAACTTTCAATTATGTGTCTTGACTAATTTCAAAAGAATACGGATACTAATTTCAAAAGTATACTGATATATTTTTAACCAACTAATGTTAAGAACTTGTATTTGGATAGCATTTTTACCTTCAAAAAGTTCTTTCACTATCTTTATTCTCAGAACCCATATAAAGCTTATGCTGGATATAACTGTGACATTCATTACTCAAGATGAGATAGAATTCCAAGGGAAAGTATGGTGGCACTATACCATTTCCCAAACCTTAGATCACACTGGACCAAACCATCTTCACACTGATACCATGCAGTACTTGCCTGTTATTTCAACAACTACTGAAAACATAACTTCACAAAGATAATCTCAACTAAAGGGCTATAGCCATCAAAAGTGAACTCCCAACTGTATAATGCAAAAATAAATAAATAAATAAAAAGTGAACTCCCAACTAACGCCAAAACTGTGCACTATGTCAAGTGTGACAGACAGATATCACTGCTGCCCATGAAATTTTAATAAATCCTGGATCATCCCTGTGAATTTGCTGTAGTGCTTCAGGGAACCACATGAGGAACAGTTTGGGAATCAGGAGGATAGTCTTTGTTTTGGCTCAGGAGAAGTAATATGAGATACAATGAAGTATTATTGATCCTTTGTTCAGAAAGAAACTAACAGGTATTCTAGCCAGGAGAGTAAGTGTTCCTAGACTCTTAAAGTCAATTAGGTGTTTAAAAAATATTAAAAGACCACTTAGCCAAAAGAATTTAGAGGCAATTTAAGAATCAAATGATCCCTGTTAGCCCCAGGCACCAGGAGTTCCAAAAGGGCAACAATACACTAGGGAAAAAAATGACACAAATCGACAAAGATTAACAGCCTAAAAAGGAACTTTGCTTCTCGAATAAACCTTAATATTTGACAAAGATCTTTAGATTTCTCTCTCTCTCTCTCTCTCTCTCTCTCTCTATATATATATATATATATATATATATATATATA